TAAGAACCCTTCCAGGCAGAGCCTAGGTAGGGAAAGATGGGAATCTGGCCGCGCTCCATCGCGTCGAACCCAATGCGGCCAAGGCCCTCGGTGGCGAGAAAATCCACCCCGGGCGGGGTGACGAAGCGCTGGTTGGAGCGCCGGCAATCCATAGCCCTCCCTTTTTTCCACGCGAAGAAAACGCCGACGAATTCCTTCGGGCGGCGCGCGAACCCGACCAGCCCGCGCCGCCTCAGGTCCTTCGCGAACGTGGAGTAGCGGCGGCGACTGCCGGCGAGCGAGGGGTTTGTGCAGACCTTGATCTCACCGATGGTGTCTCGGTCCAGCTGGACCTCCGCCTCGGCCATGATCATCTGCTGCTCTGCCTTCACCGAGTACCGATGCGCGCGGCCCCGCACCAGAGAGGCGACCACCAGGGCAGCCGACACGTCCTCGGGCAGGGACACCGCGCGTCGGCGGCAAGGCGCCAGCGCAGCGTAGGCCGTCTCGGTGTCGTAGACGCCGCGGCCTCGAGGTAGCCCCGAAAAGGCCCCCTTCAGCGCAAGGTCGGCAGGCGGGCCACCATGGGGCTGGACAATCTCGGCCCCGCGCCTGAGGACTGAAACTCGTTGCTGGCGACGGCAAGGACGCACGCCGCCTCAAGCACTTTGTCCAAAATCATGGCGACCCACGCCCCACAACCAGTCAAGTGACTCCACGCAGCCACGCCAATCACGGAGAAATCGACGCTGGCGACGGGGCGCCAGGTGGATCCAGAAGTCTGAGACGGCCGTCGGGTCGACAGGCAGAAGGAACATCTCAGGAGGTCCACGCGCAGGCCCTGAAAGGCGGACGGCGGCGGGCACGCCAGACCCATCGCCGAGGGCCACGTCATCCATAAGAACTGCGCCCCTTCCTGGCCCTTGCCACCCTTGGGCGCACCCCTGGGCGATCCCTTCGGCAACGGGCCCTTCGGGGCGCCTTGAACTGCGCCCCCCCCCCCCCCCCCACCTGGAAGACCTCCTGCGGCAACGGCGTCGGCGGCAATCGGCAGCGTGCGCGACAGTGACCTCCTCGACTCCACCTCGGCCTCATCCTTGGCCTTCTTGGCCGCGCAGTGCTTCAGCTCGGGCGCCGCCAAGTCCGCCGCCGAGCCGACTCCCGAGCACAGCCTGGCGCGGGCCCGCTGCGGCCGCGATGGATCACCCGAATACGCGTCGACAGTGCTCTGTGCCCGCCGAGCCACGATCTCGAAGCTGACCAGCGACGGCATGTTCAGCTGGTCGTAGGTGCCCCGTAGAGAACCTCCGCCAGCACCGACATCTCGCGGTGCACGCGCTCGCCGGCACTGATGTTATTCGAGAGCGCCCCAGTGTCGAGCCACAACCGGACATTGCCCCCGTGCCTCTCCGAGTGCCGAAGGATGCACATCACGCGGGAGGGGCCTTCCACTGGGCTGTCGGCCTAGCTGGACGGGAAGCTCGAGCACGACGCCCCTCCAGCTCTTGCACCGCACACTCTGCGCGTCCGTGTCCACCCACAGCGCAGGAACATCCCCCGACCCTTCCGTGGCGCCCCCCGCACCAGCGCCAGCCGCTGCCCGATCTCCTCGCCCCCCAGCCCGCACCAGTCCGACGCGCCGTCCGAATTCCGCAGGGCCACCGCGGGACCCCCGCACCTCGATGTCGAAAGCCGCAGCCTTCAGGGACGCGTACTCGCCTATGTCGGCCTCAGGAACGGACTGCACGGGTAAGATCTGGTCGTGGAGCGAGGCGAGGCCGCGGTCTCCCAGGGAGCGCACGACCGCGCCAGCGGGCACGGGAGAGCCCAGGGGTACTTTCAGCCCGACGTCACTGACGACACAGCGGCTGCACGCCTCGCCAGGCGCGGGAGCCTGCCCACTTCCGAGCTCCAAAGGAGGCACATCCCCAAGAGGCGGCGGCGACGGCCCTCCCGGTGGGATGGCAGTCCCACCTACCGGCAGCGCAGGCGCCGCCAAGGCTGGCCTCTTGCCTACCAGGCGGCGGCCCACCAGCGGCGACACGCGGCCGTCCTCACTCAGGAAGTGCGCGGGGTCGGGCGGGACCTCGCGGTCGGGCTCCGTCGCTCGAAGGGCAGCCCGCCTCCGACCTGGCATCACGCACCAGCCCTCGAAGTTCCTGGTCCGACGGCATGCGTTCGAAGGCCACCGTCCTGATGTCGTCGACGGGCAGCGAGCGAGGAGGCCGCCCAGCGGTCATCATTAATATCCTTTCCCAAACGACCTACTCCTCGACATACAAGTCACCCCCAGGATTCCACGCGATCCATGATCCCGCGTGGCAAGGCCAGACCATTATCCTCTCGCGTCGGTATCCCGGGCCACTTGCGAACGACACGAGCAGCTGGGCCCCCCGCAGCCACTGATCCTACATGGATCACGACGCGACGGCCCAGCGGCACGGCTGGGCGCCAGGACGCGTGACGGCGGCCCAAGCAGCAGCAGCACAGCGCCACGAGCACCTCCAGCGCCGCCAGCGCCAACACCAGCGGCAGCCAGCCTGCGGCGTAGGCCTCAAGGACCGGCCACGAGGGAAGGCCCGCTGGGGGGGCGTCCGCCGCGGCCACGCCCAGGCTCGCCGGCTGCGGCGAGGGTGGCGGGGGCGGCGGGGGAGCGAGCGCGTCGCACACGCACTCGCACGCCACCTCCCACGGCGGCCCCTGCCAGCGCCCTCCCTCGGCAGGCGCCAGCGAGGTGGCGGCCCTGCCCGCGAGCCAGCCCGAAAGCGAGGGGGCCAGCACGGAGAACCAGGCGACGATGGCGGCGTGGGAAGGCGAGAGGGTCATCGAGCGCCAGAACCCCTGCCTTTCCGCCTGAGCCCGCAGGATGACGGGCGGCAAGCTGCGTCGGAGCGACGCTGAGAGAGCGACCCCAACCAAACACTCGAAATCATTCCCGCGCACGCACTAACAAACCTGCTTAGAATTTGTGCAGGGACCGCGCTGGCGCCACAGCGGCAACACGTGCTGGACCTCCCCCCCCGGTTCCTCTTCTTCCTCCTCCTCACCCTCCTCCTCCTCCTCCTCCTCCTCCTCCTCCTCGTCATCCACCTCCTCCACCTCCTCCTCCTCCTTTCCTCCTCCTCCTCCAGCTCGTCTTCCCCTTCCTCCTCCTCCGCCTCCTCCTCCGCCCTGTCTCCTCCGCCGCCTCTGGACCCCCCACAAGCTATCCCTGCACCCCTGCCAGGACTCTGACGACCCCAGAACTCCAAACAACCCCCAGGCAACAGAACAAGGCGTCACTCCGCTGGACCCCAGGGATGGCGAGCTTTCCTGGTGGCCCGCGTAATCCGCCACTCCGCTGGACCCCCCAGCAGCCCTGTAAAGTGAAGACAATTTCGCAGATCGCAGCCCCTCGAGGGATGGCGAAGTCTCCTGGTGGTCTGCCACGGCAGCCCTCGAAAGTGGCGCTGGCTCCACAGATCGCAGCCCCATACGGATGACGAGGTCTCGTCTGAATCTGGGTAAGACGTCACTCCGCTGGGCCCCCCAGCAGCACTCGAAAGTGGCGCCGGTTTTACAGATCGCAGCCCCACGCAAATGGCGAGGTCCCATCTGAATCTGGGTAAGACGTCACTCCGCTGGGCCCCCAGCAGCCCTCGAAAGTGGCGACGGCTTCACAAATCGGATCGGGATGGCGAGGTCTCATCTGCATCTGGGTAAGACGTCACTCCGCTGGGACCCCCCAGCAGCCCTCAAAAACGGCGACAACTTCGCAGATCACAGCACCCCAAGGATGGCGAGGTCTCATCTGAATCTGCGTAAAACGTCACTCCGCTGGAACCCCAACAGTCCTCGAAAGTGGTGACAATTTCGAAAATCGTAGCACCACGTGGAAAGCGAGGTCGCATCTGAATCTGGGTAAGACGTCACCCCGCTGCACACCCCACCAGCCCTGGAAAGTAGCGACGGTTTCACAGATCGCAGACCCACACGGATGACGAGGTCTCGTCTGAATCTGGGTAAGACGTCACTCCGCTGGGCCCCCACGCAGCCCTCGGAAGCGGCGCCAGCTTCACAGATCGCAGCACCCCCAGGGATGGCGAGGTCTCCTGGTGGCCCGCGTAAAACATCATTCCGCTAAACCCTCGGCAGCCCTCGAAAGTCGCGACAGTTTCGCACATCGCAGCCCCCCGAGAGATGCTACTGCTTCAAATCGGACAACTCTTGTGCGCGCGGGTCTTCTGGCTGGTCGCCAAAATCATTCCAGGCGCACTCCGCATCGCAGTTGGAGGAGACCGCGCCCGCGCCACTGTCATCCCCCTCGGCCGGGTTGCCCCGCAACGTCGCTGCAGGGGTAATTGTCGGGGCTGCTGGCGGTGATGGTTGCGCCCAGGTGGCCAAGTGTCCTCGAGCACCTTGCGCTGCTGGAGTTGCTGAATTCCACGACCCAGGCGCTGGGGCTCCCGCTCGCGTTGCGTCTCGTCGCGAATATCACCCCATCAGGAACTGATCCGTCGCGCGAACGACGGCTCTGGCGCGGCCACTCATCAGCTGACCGACGTTGCTCGGCATCTCTTCAGCAATGCGCCGTCGTCGCCGCGTGCACTCCAGTACGTTGTCGCAGTCCTGGTGGGCGCGGCGCATCACACCGTTGAGCGGCTGCAATAATGATGACACTTCACTTGCTGCGATGCGAAAGGCCCAGACCAGCGCCCTGAATAGTAGTTGGTAGATATCCAGTCCGAAGCCCGCGGCGTCCGCCTGCAAGCGGGCGATCCCCCACCTGACCAGTACACTGTCGATCCACTCCTTAGGCTGGACCCGAGCCCATCAACTCCAGTCCCTGCTGTAGTTGCCGTTCGTCTTCAAGGCTTTCAAACCGCTGCGCCAACTAAGAATACAGGCATGTGAATGGGTCGGTCCCGACGCCGTCGACCTCCGCGCCGGAGTTGATGACGGCGGGAATGATCCGCATTGCCAGGGTGCGTGCGAGACCCTGCAGTCCTCCTTGTAAGGCAGCGGCCTGTTGCGAGGCTTCATCAGACGCGGTGCGGCACGTTGCCGGTTGGACCCCACGTTGGGACCCTGGGTTGGTCATCTTCTCGTTCTCGTAACATGAGGCCTATGAACACGCCGATGGCAGTGGCCGCGAGCCCGCACGCTACGAGGCCCACGTCGTGGGTGCGATTGAGGAAAGTAGATGCGGCAGTGGAACGTCTGGATGTCCTGATACTGCGGGTCGTGCTGCCACTGACGGACGGAGACTGGGACGGGTTCGCGAGCTGGCAATCCTGAAGCTCGGAGATGCAGGGGTCGCTCGCGTCTCCGTGAACGTAGGCGGAAGAGGTGGTGGTAGAAGGCGTGGTGGTAGTGAAGTGGTCGTCGTGGTTGAAGCGGCCGCGCATCCACGCACACCCGACGAAGGAAAGGTAAGGGTAGTCGTCGTTGTAGTAGCAGTCGAGGTTCCTCGCGCATTTGGCAATGGAGTAGTAGACGAGATCGTCGTAGTTGTGGCGGTCGGAGTTCCTCGCGCTTTCGAAGATAAACCCGTCCAGGTAGAAGCTGAAGAGAGGAAGGCCTTCTTTGATGTGGTCGAGTTGCTTTGCGCGCGTGCAGCCCAGGTCGGGGTCGAAGAAACCGCAGTGGTTGCGTAACTCATGTTGTCCTGCAGGAAACCTCCGCTGCGCGCGCGGTGGGCGTAGATGTCGTTGAACGTCATCACGCCGATAGCGGAGGCGAGCAGGGCGGCCGCGGCTGCGAAAGCTCCGCTGCCAAGTCGACGGCGAGAGAGCCATCCTGTATAGGAAATCAGACATGTAATGAATGTAAGATAGGAATGGCGAACCGGTGGCGGCATTAAAAATATACTGCTTCACTGTTCACCGCCTCGAATAGTACAGGCAGGCGGCGCCCACCCGTATGCAGATGGGGCAGCGCTGAGTTGAGCTCAGGTGACAGCGGCGAGCAAGCACTAAGCGCCCCCACGCTTGGGGCGTTCCCTCAAGATGTGGGGGGGGGTCATCCCGCCCAAGACGGCCTTGAGACTCCCAAGCCGAGCGCGCCTCCTCTGCTCCTCTCGTCTCACTTGGTCCTCTCCTTGATCCTCTGCTGCTCTCGTCTCCCCTGCTCCTTTTCTCTGGTCTTCTCGTCTCCTCGGGTCCTCTCGTCTCCTCTGCTCCCCTCGTCTCCTCATCGTCGCTGGAAGCCCCGTGCTGCGGGAGCACAGCGCGCGGCGAGTGGGCGCCAGTGAGGGCGCTGGGATTTTCCGACCACCATCCGCGGAAAGCGCGCAATGGCCGACACCCCCCAAGGGGTCCCCCCCTGGCCTAGAGGCCCCCAACAAGCCGCAAGGAGGCCAAGAAACGCCTCAAAAACCCCCAAAGAAGGCGCCAAGAGGCCTCCAAGAACCCCTAAACGTGACGCGACAACTCTGCAATATTACGGCTGTGGTACACTGCAGCACCGTAGCGCTGATTCCTGGGCAGGTCCCAAGGCGGGTCTATCGAGCATGTAGGTAAACCTCGGTAGAGGTACCCTGCATGCATGTCGATGCTGCATAGGCGCTGTGGCGGAGCTCGCCTCATGCATCGGGGTACTCTGATTCTGATCATCGTACTCATATTCATACTGATAAGTACTCAAGCTCACCATCCCATGACCCACGGTCCTAGAACAGCTTGGTGCGCAGCCGGGGTCCAGGCAATCCGCGGCAGCCGTGAAGGCGCACGCGCGGGGCATTGCTATTATGCGCCCTTGGCGAGAAGAGGAGACGGAGGAGAGAGCAGGGAGAGGCAAAGGGGAAGGCGAGAGAGAAGGAGAAGGAGAAGGAGAAGGAGAAGGAGAAGGAGAAGGAGAAGGAGAAGGAGAAGGAGAAGGAGAAGGAGAAGGAGAAGGAGAAGGAGAAGGAGAAGGGGAAGGAGAAGGAGAAGGAGAAGGAGAAGGAGAAGGAGAAGCAGAAGGACAAGGAGCAGGAGCAGGAACAGAAGCAAAAGCAGCAGGAGCAGGAGCAGGAGCAGGAGAGGGAGCAGGAGCAGAACGAGAAGGAGAAGCAGAAGGAGGACCATGATGACGGAGACGAGAAATAAGGCCCTGGAGATCACATTGCGGGCCTCTTGTAGCCCCTCGGGAAGTCATGAGGCCATCTGGGAGCATGATGCGCCCTGTTGGGCTCTCTTGGAATCGTGTAGATGCCCTCTCGGGGCATCGTGGTGGACAGTTGACGCATCTTGGGCCGCAGGAGCCTCCTGGGAGATCCTGGGGGAGACTCCAAGGAGGCCTTGGAAGGGACGGGAGGCCTTACTAGTGTCTGGATGCCCCGGGGAAAAGTCGTGGGGGTCCCTGGAGGCGAGCTTCGCGCATATGTGAGAGATGACGGCCGTGATAGCCGCGCGGGTCTCTCGTGCTGGAAATATTGGGGGGGGGGCTGTACGAGTCTAGTCCAGCAGCACCGTCGTGCTATCCACGGAGGCAGCGAACAACACGGGCAGGTGCACACTCACCCCACGCGCGCCATTCCTCAACAGCCAGAAGGGACAAGGCACACTTGTGACTGGACTCTACCAGGGCAGGATCAATCAACATCGAATCGGGAAATCGGATCGAATCCATATGTCCGTCGGATCGGGCGCCACTGGCACGGAGTCAAATCGAGCCTCATCAGATCGTCGGAACATCGGGATCGCATCAGATCGAGCCTACAAGAATCGACATCGACTCGGATCGATCGGATCGAAATGGACCCTGCGGGACCCCCGAGAGAGCGAGCATTCCGGGAATCGGAGTGCCTCCATCGCTCGAGACGCCCTCGGACAATCGCATGGATTCCGAAACGATGGGCGTGCTCCCCGCCACTGCCCCCCGGAGACTGCGCCGTTCGCGCGACGTCTCATTCAAAGAGATAACATCACCAGACCCAGTCCAGCCTGCAGACTCTCCGCACCTGCACGTAATCTTGTTCCGCATCATCCACGCAAGCCAAATGATGACCTCCTCCTCCTCCTCCTCCTCCTCCTCCTCTTCCTCCTCCTCCTTCTCCTCCTCCTCCTCCTCCTCCTCCTCCTCCTCCTCCTCCTCCTTCCTCCTCATTCTCGTCCTCCTCCTCCTTGGCCTCGTCCTCCTCCTCCTCCTCCTCCTCATCCTCCTCCTCCTCGTCCTCCTCCTCGTCCTCATCCTCCTTCTCTCCCTCCTGCTCCTCCTCCTCCGCCTCCTGATCTAATACGATGTACCACCGCAGAGAGACTACGCCACAGAGTGAGAGGGAGGGCATGGTGACTGAAATTGACGAGTCCACGAGCCCGCGCGCAAAACCCAAAACCACGCCGCGAGACGACGAGGGGGAGAACCCAGAGATCCGACGCCCCAGAAAAAATGGAGCGGCGGCATGTTGGCCGCTTTCGGCCTCTCGGGGCCCTCGCCGGGCCTCGGGAGCGTCAAAAAACTTCTCGGGACGAAGATATGTCTCCCTTCCTCTGGTGGGTCTGCACCCCCGTGCGTTCCCAGGGGCTCGTCTTCCAGCGCACTCGGCCAGGGGCCCTCCCAGGGCAATGTGCCACCAACTGCCCAGCCAAAAAGGCGCAAGCCCCACCAGGGAGGGCGGGCGGGAAACAGAAAGGCACTGAATTTAGGTCGGGCATGTCCCCCTACAGGCGGACTTTGGACGAAAAATGAAAAATATTCAAACTCAAAACATGCTCAAACAAATACCAAGAGCTTGTTGGTATCAAACAAATACTAAGAGCTGTTATATATATAGTTTATAATTATGTATGTTAAACAATGTGTACATATATATATATATATATATATATGACTATTTTCCGCGGCAGCCGACAGGGCGGGCCAGGCCAGGGGCCTGGGCCCCCATGAGACGCCCTCGCGACAACCCAGAGTTAGGTCGGGCGTGTCCCCCTACAGGCGGATTTGGGACAGAAAAAAATCAATAAATGTTCAACAATATTTTTTCTTAAATTGCCAAAAAATCACCCCCAGGCTATTTTTTGACTATTTTCGACTACTCCTCCTGTAGAGGGGCAGGCCCGACTTAAGGCTGACGTTAGGACGATAGGGACAGACAGGCGGGACGACGACTGACTGGCACACAGAACGACAGAGAGGACGCCGACAGACAGACAGACAAGCCAAGACCGACGACGGACAGCCGCAGCCCCTGGAAGGGCCACCACGCCGCGAGGATATGATGCCCCCGCCCGCGGCGCAAACAGGAAGAAGTCCCCGGAGGCCAGGAGGGAGTGGAGGAGTGCATCACGAACCGTGCGTTAGTCAAATTTTCCTGCCCACCAAACCTGTAGTTTAGGGACGAGGCCCCAGGCAAGTGGTCCGGACCTCCGGGGCCCACGCATCGAAAAAGTTGGAGCGGCCAGATGCCTGGGAAGGTAGAAAGCTAGAGCACCAGTGAAGACAAAAGCGGTGGTATTAGTCCTGACCAAGCTGAGAGACAGAGAGGAGCGATCAACAACATCACGCGGTAGTGCAATGACATGTCTTCACAGGGTCGTGGAATCTCGCCAGATGTCTCGAAAGCAGGTCGTGAAAGGCAGGCGGGCACTCTAGAGAATCGCATACCAGAGGCCAACTCGCAAGTGGCAGGAACTAGGGGAGGATCGCAAAACCGGAAAGAGTGCGTGGCGAAGGGCAAGTTGGAATTCTTTTTTTACACACCAACAGCCTAAATACAACTTCACCACCGTGCGAATTTATTTACTGTGATGCATCGCACGGCGCGCACATTCCATACGCGCGATCTCTTCAGCCAAAACAGCTTTAACAGTTTTAACGCCGGAGCGCCGTCCGAAGCCGAGCAGCGCCTCGAGGTGAGCTCAGCCGAGTTCGGCGTGGGTGCCCACGGCGACGAGGGCGCAGCACGAGGACGAGAGGAGGCCACAGGCCTTGCCCGCCTCCACGGCAGCCGACAGGGCGGGCCAGGCCAGGGGCCTGGGCCCCCATGAGGCGCCCCCGCGACAACCCAGAGTTAGGTCGGGCGTGTCCCCCTACAGGCGGATTTGGGACGGAAAAAACTTAA